TATTTTATGTAACAAACTGATAAAACCGTTAAACACCCTATTGACGTTTATTGATTTCATTATTTTCTGAATTAAAATAGCAGCTGAAGAGAATGCAACGAAATATAATGTATACTACTTCAAATTCTTAATACTTTTATGGTTTTCACCGTAGTGATAAAATTTGTAATGGAGGCCAAATTTATGAAGAAAACAATATTGTTCGCTTACCTGCCTTGTTTCCATCTTATTATTTTTTATTATTAGTCCCTTGGGTTCCTAGTGGAACATAGGGCTTCAGTAGCACGTCTCCAGTGAATTCTGTTCTCTGAGATCTTTTGAACCTGGTTCCACGACAGCCCAGAAGCTCTCATTTCCTCCTAGCACGACCTCCTCCATGTCACCCTCGGACGTCCAACTCGTCACTTCCCATGGGGATTCCACTCGAGGGCCTGACGCGTGATGTCCTCGGTCGGCCTTCTCAGTGCATGCCCAATCCATCTCCACTTCCTCCTGCATATTTGTTGGGTGATAGGTTCTTGGTTGGTTCGTTCCCAGAGCTCCTTGTTGCTTATTCTTTTTGGCCATCTGATCTTCAGTAGCGAGCGTAGGTGGCAGTTGTTGATGAATGTCTGTAGTTTATTGGAAATCCCTTTCGTGACGCGCCAAGTCTCTGAGCCATACAGAAGCACTGACTTGACGTTGGTGTTGAAAATCCGTATCTTGTTCCGCATGCTGAGTGCAGAAGATCTCCACACTGTTTTCAGGCTAATGAACGCCTGTCTTGCTTTTCCGATTCTGACTTTGACGTCCTCGTCCGTCCCGCCTGTAGTTGAAACAGTGCTTCCTAGATAAGTGAAGGAGGTTATTTCCTTTAAGTTTCTCCCGTTGACGGTGATTGGAGTTTGTTGTTGTTGGTGGTGGTGCGGTATCTTCATCACCTCTGTCTTCTCTATATTCACCTGAAGTCCCGTCTTCGCTGCCTCTTCTATCAGCTTGTTAGTTTTTGCCTGCAGATCTTCAAGTTTATGTGACATCAGGCACAAGTCATCGGCGAAATCCAAATCTTCTAGGTTCTTTTCCGTCGTCCAGTGTATCCCCCTCTTCTCGCTGCCCACAGTTTGCTGCATGATCCAGTCGACCACAATCAGGAATATCATGGGGGATAGTAGGCAACCTTGTTTCACTCCTGTCTTCACTTCAAAATCATCACTGAGCTTCCCATTGTGAATTACTTGGCATGTGGCATCTTCATATAGTTGTTGAATGAGGCTGATAAAGGTTTGTGGTATTCCGTAGTGTTGAAGCAGTTTCCAAATTACCTCTCGGTCGACGCTGTCAAAGGCCTTCTCAAAGTCGATAAAGTTTAGGTAGAGAGCTGATTGCCATTCTATGCTCTGTTCTATGATGATGCGAAGCGTTGCAATTTGGTCTGCACATGATTTGTACTTCCTGAAGCCTGCCTGTTCCGGTCGTAGTTTTGAATCCAGTGCATCTTTAAGCCTCTCCAGGATGATGCGGCTTAATATTTTGCTTGCTTTGGGTGGACAGGAGAGTGATTCCTCGCCAGTTCTTGCAAACACTGAGGTCTCCTTTCTTCGGCAGTTTGACAAGGTAACCCTTCTTCCAATCGACAGGTACCTTCTCTTCCTTCCACACCTTCTGCAATAGTGGTGTGAGCATGTCCGCTGTTGTCTCTGCGTCTGTTCTCAGTGCTTCTGGCGGTATCCCGTCTGGTCCTGCTGCTTTCCGCATTTCAGTAGCTTTATGGCGTTCAGGACTTCCATTTTCGTTGGAGGATTTATGTTCACCTGTAATTCAGCGGCTGCAGGTGGTATTGTATTTCTGGACGAAGTGCAGGTGGTGATCGATTCAAGAGCTTTTTGAAGTGGTCGGCCCATTGTTTCCTTTGTTTATCTTCTTTCGTAATTAAATTTCCTTCTTCATCTTTTATTGGTTTCATCTGTGTTGATCTCTTCCCTGATAGCAACCTGGTTATTTGATACAATGTCGTCAGGTCTCTCTTACCTGCAGCCTGATCTGCTGCCAGTGTCTCGTAGAAGTGTCTTTTGTCTTTCCGTGCACTTTTCTTTACTTCTTTGTTCAGTGTTTTATACATTGTGCTCAGTACTTCTTGTCGTTGAGCGTCCTTGCACTGGTTTATCTTCTGTTTCACCATCCTCCTCTCCTCTATTAGCTTCCAGGTATCCGTCGAGATCCATTCCTTGTCTTCTTTCTTCTTCCTTCCTAATACTGTTGTGCAGGTTTCTTTCCACATAGCTTTCAAAGACTTCCAGTGTTCTTCCACACAGGTTTCTTCACGGATGTTCCTCGATATCTCCCATTTTGTCTTGATGGCTGCCTTGAAGACCTCCTTTGTGGTTTCGTCCTTCAGTTTCTGTTCTTGGTGTTGAACTTGAACTGCGGTCTATCACCAACTTCCTTGAAGGCTTTCAACTTGATTTGAAAGGTGGGTTCCTTGCACTAGATAGTGGTCTGAGCCTACATCTGCTCCTCTTCTTGACCTTGTGTTAAGTAGACTGCGTCTCCATTTTCTTGAGATTGAGATAAAGTCGATTTGATTTTTAGTGTGTCCATCTGGTGAAATCCATGTCGCTTTGTGGATATCTTTGTGCCTGAACACTGCCTCCAATCACCAAATCGTTGAATGCACAGAATTCTGCAAACAATTCTTCATTCTCGTTCATCACCTCACCGAGTGCTTCTCAACCCATGGTTAGTTCTCTTACTGTGTTGACCGCTCCGAGTTTGGCATTCATGTCGCCCTACCCATTAGAGTTTTGATGTCGCCAACTGAAGTGGGGTTTTGTCCAGTGTTGATTGCAGTTGTCTGTGGAATTCCTCGTTTTTATCTTCATCTGCATTATTTGTAGGTGCGTAGCGTAGCATTGTATGATTGTGACCTTCCTTCCTTTTGAGTTGAACCTTGCTGTGATGATCCTGCATGAGGAGATTGGTTCTCACTGCATGAGAGCCTATGATGCTGTTGGGGACATCATGATAGCCACTCCCTCAGAGTGCTCGTGGTTGTCGTCTGGGTGACAATATCGGAGTAGATTGTTGATTCTCCAGTTGACAGTTTGGAGAGTCCACTCCCATTCCATCTGCTTTCGCAAATCCCAAGCACTTCGATGTGATACCTTCTCATCTCATTTGCAATCTGGGCTGCCTTACTGGGTTCAAACATCGTACGGACATTCCGTGTCCCCACGTTTACTTTCGCTTTCATCTAGAGAAGACACATCGGTGAATTGGCTTCCTGATGGCTTTCACCAACTGGTGTCATTTCGCCTCTCCGATTCCAGCGAGGAATAAGTTTGTTTTCATTTTTATATTTTGTTTGGGCTTTGAAGTTTCTTTAGCGGTTAGATTTGTTTTATGGGGTATGGTTGCTACCCTTATGCCCAACCTTCCCTCTTTACCCGGGCTTAGGACCGGCTAGTAACTAGTGAACTAGTTAACCAGGCGAGGTTGTTTCCATCTTAGCAGTAGTAATTTCTAAACAGACGGGCACTCCTACAAAACATTACTCATTATAAATGTCATAAACTTATTATAGGATGCAAGTAGTTCGAATCATATTGATAGACAAAACGGAAGTTAGTAAGTTTTCTGTCTCATTATTGACCAGCTTACTGAGATTTTTAGTGCTGATGCTGAAGTAATTGGCTGTGTGGGTGGTTGACGTCCACTGTGGTTGAGTGTAATCTGATTGGTCGCTTGGTGAGTGCGTGGGTGTAGGCCGAACCTGACTGGTTAGCTTTCTGGCCTTAACTTTTTACAACGGGAGTACATCTCGGTGATTGGTTAATTTCTCTTGGTAGTGTGCAGCTCACTGACGTTGCTGCACTGTAATTGGGTGGCTCCTTTTGTTTGGATGGTTTGATAAAGATTGCCTTGTTCTCATTGGATGAATTTTATTGAGTGGAGTGACGAGGGTTGTCTTAGTCTAATTCATTGCTTCGTATACGCAGGTTTCACAACTTAGACGTTCCTGTATTCAATAAATGCTCGTTAAATCTACTGATAAAACAGTTTCATCATGTCATAACTGGGGAACACAAATTTCTCAATGCAGATAATGCATGTTGTTGTATGCAAACGATACATGGATTTTAAGTTACTTATCTTGATTAAGTTTTCCGTTTCATGTCCTGTACTCAGGAGACTTTCTTAATTTTAGGGTTCTTTATTTATCTTATATTTTAAGCTTTTGAACTATTCTCATTGCTCAAGAATAAAATTAGAAGCCATTCACTTTAGGGCACATTGAACGTGTATCAGCTATATTTGGTCTTCAATAATCAAAATAGTGTACTAACATGGAACTGCTTTCGGAATTTCTCTTTTGAATACTATGATCTTTCTTGTGGATTTCTTAATCTTGCCAGTTAGTTGAATACTGAAAATGGTGGTTTTCCAGGCAGTTATCCCATTCTATTCTGAAATTCATCAGCCGTGCGTGCGTATAATGATAAATGCTGTGACTTTTGAGCTGCAAACTGAGCTTGACCCTTGGTAAATAACTGGACCTGGTTTGAATAGCCAAGGTTTCCAACCTCAATTACCTTTTGAATTATGATACAACTTGTCATACTAAGTCTTTATAATTATTGTCTTGATAAAAACAGTTATGTGACCGTAAAAGTCTGCAGTATAACAGTTCACATATGAGTGTACTTTTGAGGAATGATCGGTTGAAATGGGCCATCTTCTTTTCGATTTTCTATAACTGTTTGATAGATATCGGTTTATGAAGGAAACCAGTTGCAGATAAACAACAAACCGTCACTCCGGTTTTCTGAAATTTCTAGATCGTGACTCGAATATCGTTCTCACGTCTTGTAGTCGATAAGAATCCCTGTGTTTATCGAAAAACCGTCGAGTTTATAGCAATGTATTTGAAAACAAGGTGTGTTATTTAGCGAATTGCATTTCAATTTGGTCATTGTACCTTTCTTTATGGTTATTTTTTCCTACTTTTTTCTACTGCTTATTAGATGTCAACAGCCAATAGTCATATCTTACAAAAATGTAAGCAACAAATGCAGCAGTTGGAAACCACAGCTAAAACGAAACACATTGATGACTATATTGATAACGAGCAGGATGATGACGACTCATCAGCGCCTGTTGGAACTTTGAGTGGACATTTCAGTGATAAGTTACAAGTATCAATGAATGTGACACATGAGAGAAGCGTTGATGGTGATGATGATGTTGACATCGGTGATGATGTTGATCTGACATCGTATTCTGGTGATTATGAAGATTCGCAAAATACTGGATCTCTGTCATTTAGATCGAAGGTATGTTTGAAGTGTTCTTCTATTCTACAGTCACTGTATATATTCGATTTAGTCGATAAATTTTGTAACCGATGAAATCTGCTTACCAAGTTATACAGTTTGATCACTATACCAACTGAATGAACATCAGAGTACAATGTACCTAGTGTTGTGTGCTTCACAGTAACCCATAGAAAGCTTTATACCTTGTTCTCGTACTTGTTGGCTTTAATCAGCAAGCCACATCTAATCGCGGGACATCCTTATCAAAACGAATAACTCAATGGTAATTTTTCTAACTATAGTTTTATGTGAAGGCTGTTACAGTCTTTATAATCTTTTGAGTGCAAATACTTGAATTTAGTTACTTCTATTCTATGATTCTCCCGTGTTCTTCTTACTTCCAGCGAAGAGACAATGTCAAGGTATGTGAAATATTATGAATTCATTCTGTATCATGAAGTTGCTTTAAATACAGAACGAAAATGACAAAATAAAATTATCCACCTAATAAAAATCAAAGTTTCCCGGTTGATGTAATTTCTAATGAAAAAATCATCTTTGCAAAATAACAATGGGACAGATTGTTTATTTAATTGGCGGGCAGTAATAGGGGTGAGAAATAATTTTTCCAAAAGAAAAAATAATCGGTAGATCGATTATAGACCATGGGAATACGAAAACCAGTGTCTTTTTCTCATCAGTAGATATGCTACCCAAAGATAACCGAAAAGTCAGAATTAACCAAAGGGTCAAAAATTGGCAGTTACTATTAATATTTTGAAGTAAAACTTGGGCAATGTGGTCTATTGTAACTCCATTCTTGTCTGTTTATTAGAAATAGAAAAAAATTAGGACCATATAAATTCTGTCTCAAAGTTTTGGAGTTACCTGATATGAATATGGACAATAAATTGTGTCCGAAAAGTTATCCGGTAAATGATATTGTTTCACTGTGATATTTCTGATAAACAGACAAAAATGGCAGTAGTTAAAAGACTATTTTAAAATGTAGAGGTCAGTTTTGAGTCATTATGGTGGCCACTGACTGCATAGAGTGCAGCAACATTGAAGCTTTCTTTCAGGATATCTACACAGTGTGTCCTGTGTCAATTGGATGTACAGCTATTGCAGTAAACTGTGACTACCGTTACCTTTATCCTCATATATTTAGACAGTTGTATATCGAACCTATCTCTTTCCCCTTCCAATCTACTCAATTTTATCAGTACACATTTGAACAGTTAGTTGCAGTAACAAGTGATTTTAAATGGAAATATATCATCTTTCGACTAGTACATTGTGTTGTTTGTGTTATAAAAGTTTGTGTCATAAAAGTCCGGTAGCTAAATAATCCTTCACCGCAGTCTTTTTCTAATCTTCTTCGAGAGACCATCTGCTCTGAATATAAAATAGAATGAGTTCTTTTTATCTCTTCATCTGTGGCAGTATTTATGTTGATGAAGGGCAGTGGCTAGCAGTGGAATCCAGGACGCGCATTTCATCCCATTTGGGACTCGTCAGCTGGAGGTATTTCCCTCCTAGTGAGTGTTGTTCCCGCCGGGACTCGAACTTGGGACCGATCTGCTCAAACGCCAGAGCGTTATCCACTAGACCACAGCCACGATATACACTTGTGCGACATGTATAGGTTTAGCGTTATCGCTTGTATTATGGCAGCATTTGTTTTAATTGTAAATGTGTATGACAACCTTTAACGATGCGCCATGCCACTGTACTTGTGCTGTATCTTTTCCTGATGGTGTGGTTGTTGAAGAAAACCAATCTTCGATTCTGAAATACCAAGTGACGTTGGTGAACACATTAGAAGAAATAAATGCATACATTCGTTTCTATTAGTGCATGGCAGAGAATGTGAGGGTGATTCAGTTCGAAAATGGTACTGAAAAAAGTGAATTCAGTTTCAGATTGGTATTGCAGACAGGATTCTTTTTGGATGACTTTTCAAGCACTATTTATTGCTTATGATAATATCACTATAATCTCTCAGATTCCAATCTTCCTTTTAATAATGCAAAAGCTGTTTACCTTTTTTATATTGAGAAGTAGTAGGGTTTTTCAAATATTTGCATCACCATCCTTCACGGTTCTAAAGAAAACCCTACTACCACTAGAAATTGCAAATGATCATAAGTTAAACTTTAAAAAAAACACTAGTTGTTAGAAGTTTTGTGATTCTTTGTACGTGATAAGGAGCAATAAATTCTATTTGAAGCATCATCTAGTAAAAGAAATACTATATCTCTATGTGCTATGTTCACCATCCATCCAAATCAACATAGGACCAGGCATTACTGCGTACCGGTCCGAGTTGTCACAGATCATATCAGTTCATCAAGTAAAAAGGCAGTGAAGTGGAAGATGAAGAAAAGAAAACTCAGTCAAAAGAAATGTAAGTACTAAAAGAGAGAAAGGAAGAACGAGAAAATGGTGAGATTCAGTATAGTGTTAGAATGAGGATAATGTATGTATACATCTGCGCCACTGAGACATATCACCTATAGTCTCCAACCACTGGTTTCTCTTGTCTAGTGGACCCCAACCACCTAGTCTGTATCACCCTACATGGCTCGAACCAGTGGTCAAAGAGTTCATACATTTATGCTGTTTTAGACTGGCCACCTTGAGCCTTTTTCTAGCCTGAACCTATTTCGGTTAAGTTGTGTGACGAGGCAGACGGCGACTGGGCATATGTAACATGTGTCCCAACCATCTCAATCAATGAAGTTTCACAACCTCGCTGACTGACTTACCCCTTCTCTCTAAAACTATATACCTGAATTGTGTGTTACTCACGTGATGACACCACGAAATACGGCCTATACTACTAAGGGAAAGGTGGTTAAACACCTGAAGCCTTCTAATGTCTTCCACCTTCAACGGCCATGTTTCACAGCCATACAGTAGAACAGAGCAGACTGTTATGCAGTACACGCGACCCTTAATAGACAATCGGATATCACGGTGGCGCTGCAGGTAGCGTAAGTTGGCGAAAGCCACCCGAGCCTTTTGTATCCGTGCAGAGATTTCATCGGCCTTTGACCCACCAGGGCTGACCCTACTTCCCAGGTTAGTGAAGTGGTCGACACACTCAACTACTTCACTCTATTGTTAGCCGTGGTACCGCTGAAGGCCAATCTTGGAGCAACAATTTGCATTTGGGTGGTGAGAACCGCATTGCAAACATTCTCAAATTCCCACTCAAAATGTTCAGAAGACTCTGCATCTTGTCAGCGGCTTCACCTAGCAGAGCTATGTCATCTGCATATTCCAGGTCTAACGAAAATTCTCCTGTGATTAGGTCAATGTCTTTGTAACCTGGTGACAAGAGAGAGACCTGTATAAGAATATCTATCATAAAATTGAATAATAATGGTGAGAGTGGGCAGCCTTGATGGACACGGCTCTACGAGTACAGCTTCCCGGACATCTCACCACAGGCTTTAGCACCCCCACAAGTATTCGAGTAGAGAGTCTTCAATAAGGTGATGTGCTTACTCAGAACGTCCTTCGGTGAGAGACATTGCCATGAGGCTTCTCGATCAACAGAGTGGAATGCCGCCCTTAGGTTGAGAAATACAGATATTGTTGGGCGTCGGTAAGCGTGTCTATGTTCCAGAATCTGACGGGATATGAATATTTGGTCGATACACCCGCAACTGGGTCTAAAGCCTGCCTGGTTTTCTCGAGCTTGCTGTTCGCGAGCTTCACTCAGGCGTCGGAGAGTTATATAATCTAGGATCATGGACACTATGTTCGTCAGGCTGATTCCTCTGTGGTTATCACAAGAGGACTTCTCGCCTTTCTTGAAGACTGGGATAATCAGTGACTTAGATCAGCCAGAGGTGATCGTATTTGATTCCCATATACTTCCGTTAACCTGAATAGGAGTACTTTACCACCATGCTTGTATACCTCAGGAGTTAGTCCGTCTGTTCCTGCTGCCCTTCCCCGTTTCAGGCTACTTACCCCTTTCTCGACTCCTGCTAGTGTTGGTGGGCCTATCTCTATGTTCCATACAGGATCCGACGGGATAGCGGGTAATTCAGTGGTGGCAGACGGCCAGTTAAACTGTACCTAGAGGTGTTCTGTCCATCGTTCCAGTCATTCCTCTGCGAGTGAATGGTAGACCGATCCTTCTCCACTATGGTCTCATTAACCGTTGTCGATCTTTTTCCCCCAGTTTCCTTGATAAGTCTAGACAATTGCCTACTGTTACCAATCGCCGCTACCTTTCCCATCTCTCTAGTATTCGCTGCCCACCACTGTTCGCAGTCGTTGCGTAAACTTCTCAACCTACTTTTAAGTTGTGCCCGCTCTTCATTGTACTCAGAGCCTGCAGGGATGCGTTCACGTGCATCCATTAGTTCGGAAGAAGCTGTTGATATCCTCTGGTTCTTTTTAGCAACTCTTTTGGAGTCTACTGCAGTCTTCAGCGCTGCTTTTACAGTATACTGAAGATGGCAACAAGTCTCTTCTGAGTGAGTGATAGTCCCTTGTTCCGATAACTGCCTAGCCAACTTCTCACTGAACACGGCTTTGGTGTTTTCGTTGTCCAGCAGCACTCGTACTGGTTTTGTTGCCATATTTTTGACGTCCATTGAGATGCAGGCATATACGAGCTTGGACCAACGCGTGGTTGCGAAGGAGCGGCAGTCTTCCACGGATTCTCTCCACCGATGACTAGTAGCAATGTGGTCTATCTGTGTCCATCACTGGGTTGAGGTCGGTGGACGCCACGTCAGACAGTGTCTTCCTTTGTGTCTGAAGTTTGTGCTAACTAAAAATAGGCGGTTATCTGAACATAGTTGTAGTGGGCGATCACCGTTATCTGTTCGTTCAGCCGGGATTCCGAAAGTGTCACCTAAGTACCTTTCTGCCTCAACCAGTCTACCTACCTGTGGATTGAAATCACCTGCAACAACCACCACGTCCGAACGTTAGGCTTTCGAGAGGAGGCTAGACAGTTTATGGTAGAACTCATCCTTCACTTCATCCGAACTGTGGTCAGTGGGTGCGTAAGCAGAGATTACAAAGAGACAACGGTGAGTTTCACCATTCTTCTCAGTTCTCATTATGGCATTCAACCGGACAGCGCAGACTCGACTATCAACTGGGATCCAATCTAGTAGTGAGCTTTCTGCTCTTGTGCTTGTTGATATGGCCAAGCCTGCAAGACCACGAGAGCTAGCTATCGAAACTCCAGAAACTCGAAGGGTGAATTTTACGGATTCACCAAATTGACCGGGAAAGGTTAGGTGAATAACCGCACTTGTGTCCTGCGTACGTATATCACAAACTTTGCACACATCCATGGCTCGAGTCCTGACCGGTGAAGCCTGTTGACCGATTTGACGGAGGGTGCAGACATTGAAGGCTACGGCGTGTAGTTTGGAGTTCGGTTCAAGGAGACCATAAATGCTGTTCTGTGGATTCAGATCAATGTCGAGAGCTTGAGAGCTAGGAGAAATTGAAGGTGATGTAGTATCGTTAATTGAGAGACGTGAAGGAAGATTAGAAAGTAATAATGAGGAAGGTGGATAGCAGTCTGAATAAACTTGGGTGCTGACAGAGTTGTGAGGGTGGTTGACACTTTCCGGCTGCCCACACCGTGGAAGGTTATTTCTTCTTAAGGTACCTGAAAAAGAATTATGTAACCGCAAAGCCCGTTAGACATCTGCTTGAGTCCTGTCACGCACAGCACTTTGTGTATGCTTGTTTAGAACTTTTGTTGTTTTGGGTTCGAATGTTCAAAAAGAAAAGACATATGAACCAACACCGCCGGGCCAGCAGACCGTGGGGTATGGTGGAGTGTGTTATTTTCGGGGCCGACCTTTTCTACCCCCCCTTCCATTGAGAAGGCGGCATCAGCATAGCACTGGTGGTCATCTAAGGGAAACACCTTACTGCTGTCACGTCTCATCCTGCTAGCAGCAGTACGACTTCGCTCTCAGACCACCATCATAGTGTAGTAATTTACACCACAACGGTAACTGCTTTTCGTCTTACCACTATCTAACAGACCTTTCTGATATGTTAGGACCTCGAGGGAACAAGTGTTACACCAGCATAGCTCGTTGGGTCATTGTGGTGTGCAAGCCCGACCACCACGTCAAAGTAGCAGCTATCGGCCTGGATGTGCTATGTTGAATTAACGTATGCGATATAGAATTAAGCCCTGGCACAATGCTCTTCTTATACTGAGAAAGAAGTCAACCTTACCTGTCAAAAAGAAATGTTGCCTGTCAAGTATTCTGACGAGAGAATGTAATGCCCTGTCAAAATTGTTGTTAATAAATATCATTTCTAGAACTCAAACGCTGCTATCCTCCTGAATGATGCTGAATTATTGTGATACATTAGGCAGGCACTTTACGACTTTAACTGCCATGTTCACATATATTTATTTCAATATCATTGTTGGTTCATCCTTAAGTATAGTACACCAAAAGGAATCTGGAGAAGTGTCTTCGTACACTGTAGAAATCTGTCACTCCATAACTTTAGTATTTAATCCTTAATTTTGAACTTTTTTCTTGACGTTTACTTTATTACTTGAAAGAATTACCAGATACTGGAGTACCAAATTCATTAAACCAGGACTTGTAGTGTTCCCATGTGATCAAACCACTTGAGGGAGGGTTATGGTTGGAGATGAATTTACTTTCATCAGGGATTATAAACATCATATCATTAAACTCATGAAAAACTAAACGAAGCACTTAAGTTGTTTTGTTTTTCTTTCTATATCAAACTTTTAAAAAATTAGATTCCCGTTCTGTCGAGTCCAGTTGAATCAAAGCATGAAAATAGTAATAAACAAAGACTAGAAAGTATTTCTCTTGATGGGACAACACGAATGACAAGTTTTACCAAAGTGACAGCACCTTTGGATCGCCGATTAGTTTATGGTGGTACAACAGGTGAACTATTAACTGACACGAATATCCCTCCATCAATGATATCTGGTACAGACGATGTTGGAGTAGATGATGAAGAGGAGGATCCAATTGTTCAAGGTGTAACCAATTTACCTCCTACTACAATTACTGAGTCTTCTCAGCACAACCTAGATTTATTTGAAGAATTCGATATTGAAGCCATGCGTTCACGTAGTTCACAAGACTATATCCTCGGTGGTACAGTAACAACATAAAAAAGGATATATTTCTATTCTTTGAAGAGGTTTGTATATTTTGAACCAGCACAAGAAAATGATCTTAAAATGCTTTTGTTAATAAACAAAACTGACCATTTTAAAACATGCTATCGTACATCATGTGTTTTAGAGTACACGCTGACCTTAAAAAATTTCATCAAAACTGATAATAAGTTGTAAACACATTGAATGTTTGCCAACTAACCAAGATCTATTAATCCTGAGTGTAAGAAGCCATCGTGATGAATCAACAGAAATAAAAATGAATGTGACGGTAAACAAACTAAATTTTATTTCCTCATGTGTAGTGACTGATGGTTATGTTGTTGAGAATTCTTGGTCGTTTCATCTTTACATTTTTCTTGTTGGTTTGTTTTCGTCCAACACAAGCGTATATGTGCTCATGTATATATATTTATCGGTACTTACCATACCCATAGATAGTATGTTACTACTACAGTTTTCATGGTATTATTCGCCATATTGAGTTTATTTTTGTGAGTTGCTTTCATTGGTTCTAAGAGTAGTAGTAGATTTAATACGTGAACCGACTCAAATTTTAGGGTGCTGCTTATTCCTCATGTTGTAAAAGAGAAGACATTCATATCATTGCCTGTTTATAGCCTAGTAAGTAGCACACCATTCAATTAGATGCATCTGTAGCGTAGGTTTTCACAGTATAACAAAATGCCGATGAATTTTTTATTCGCTGGTTGGATATATATTTTCACTTCAATGGGAAATTTATTAGCTCTTCGAACTGTAATAACTGCTGAGTCTTGGGCCTAGAAAAAAGTACTAAAGACATAACTGATTTAAATCTTAACATATCTTTCACTTTTTTGCAGTTATGACTCACTGGGAGGCAGGTATGCACAGCTGACGAGTCCTAAGTAGGAAGAAACGCGCGTCTTGACTTCCACTCCTAGCTACTGTCCATTGATTAACATATTGTTTATTCTTTTAGCTTTTGTAATTCAGGTGGCTATGTATAGATATTTAAATGCTGCTTCTCAACCAAAAACTTGGTTTTGTATTGACTTTAATTTATTGTATCTTTGAATCTTCAGTGTTGTTAGTACTGATTTATTCTAAGATTGAGTTGTTATTATTCTTGTATGCCGATTGTCGGAGCATTTTTAGAAATCATGGGTGCTCGATGAACACATTGAACGAGTAATGCTAAATGGAACAGTAAAAGTTTCGGTGAGGTTATTGAACTCTTTAACGAGGTTATGATAGTGAATTTAGTTAGGTTAAAACGTTAGCCTACAGGTCAATCATACTATAAACCACCTGCTTCAATGTTTGATACGGACCGCAATATCAGTAGATGAAGAAATCTTTTGTTATACGAATTATAACTAGGATCAATCTTTGAAGTTGGCATCTGTGGATCATTACTTGGTATTTGTACTTCATAAGAGGTGTAAGACAAAACACATTTGTTTAGATATCTATAAATTAGAACCTGTTAACTTGATATGCTTTCAGACTGGGCATAGGACAACTGAAATTATCATCATATCTGTGCCAACAGATTTTCCAACCATACGATTGTAGAATCGACTTGACAATACGGTGCAGAGTGTAAAGTTTTTAAAGCATTAAGTATTTCGTTCTTACCCATCCATTATATACAATTAATGGCATACTTATGATACGCTACATACTGCGAATCGTTTCATTCGTCAAAATTTTTATTAAATGTAACCAAGTTCATTTTACTGCATAGTTTAACAAATCTGAAAGCTGAAAAGACTTCCTAGTGCATTGTTTTATCTCTGGTTTAAATCCTTTCGCTTTAACATCTGACATGATGGTGTCCTGGAGGTTTTTTGCGAAATAACCACAATCAGCTTATCAGTTCGACTTCAAGTGGTCTGTAAGTGCTGACTGGCTAACTAAAAGATGTTTGTATATTGATACCCGTTGCACAGGAGGTACCTCTCATAGCCTAGTAGATAAAGCTTTGGCGCTTGAAGCTGTGGGAGCTGGGTTCGTGTCTCAAAAGGAACAATATTACTCATTCGGGTGCTGATGAGTCCAAAAGAAGACGAAACAAGCTTCCTCGACTGCAAACTACCACCAAGTAAATTATAATAAGAAATGCTTTTCCTGAACATAAAGTGAAAATATGAAACTTAAAACCTCGCCTAGTTTATTCGCAGGTCCTAAGCCCGGAAAAAAAGGGGAGGTTGTGCATGAGGCTAGCAACCCTACCCGGAAAAACAAATCCGATCTCTAAAGAAACTTCAAAGCACAAAGAAAATATAAAAAAAAATAAAAACAAGCTTATTCCTTGCTGGTATCGGGGAGAGGAAATGACGACAGTTGGTGAAAGCCTTCGGGAAGCCAGTTGGCCGTTGTATCTTCTCTCTCTCGATGAAAGCGAAAGCAAACATGGGGAAATGGAATGTCCGCACCATGTATGAACCTAGCAAGGTTACCCAGATTGCAAAAGAAATGAGAAGATATGGCATAGAAGTGCTAGGAATCTGCGAAAGTAGATCGAATGGAAGTGGACTCTCCAAACTGTCAACTGGACAGTCAACAATCTACTCCGATGTTGTCACCCAGACGACAACCACGAACGAGCACACTGAGTTTTTGAGTGGCTATCATCATGTCCCCTACCAACAACATCGAAGACTCTCTCTCTCTCTCATGCAGTGGGAATTAATCTCCTCCAGCATCAGGATGATGCCAACAAGATGGATTCAAGTCGAAAGGAAGCAAAGTTACAACCATACAATACTAGGCTACAAAAAGCATCTACAAATAATGCAGCAGATGAAGAGAAGAAGGAGGGATTCTGTGGACAACTGCAATCAATACTGGACAAGACTACACCCCAGTTGGCGACATCGAAATCCATTCCAATGCTCATTCTGCGAAAGAGATGGAAGGACACCCGCATAACCGTCTTAGGAAGGAAGAAGAAAGAAGAGAAGGAATGGATTTCGACTGACACATGGAAGCTGATAGGGGAGGGAGAGGAAGATGGTGATGGTGAAGGAGAAGATGAACCAGTGCAGTGCAGGGGGAAGAACGAAAAGAGGAACTGAGTACAACCTACGGAACACCACAGTGGACAAAGAAGTGAAGAAGAGTGCGCGCAAAGACAAAAGACACTTCTACGACACACTGGCAAGTGAAGCAGAACAGGCTGCAGGTAGGAGAGACAGAGACTTGACAACACTACGTAAAACAACCAGGTTACTATCTGAGAGGGAAGAGATCAACGCAGATGAAACCAATGAGAAATAGATAGTGAAGGGAACCTGTTTACCAAGGATAGAGGAGAAACACAGGAAAGAATGGATTGATCACTTCAAAAATGTCTTGAATCGACAACCCCCACCACCACCTGCAACTTGTCTAAAAATACCACGAGCAGCCCAGCCACAGAGTTACCAGTGAACACAAGCGCTCCGACAAAAGCAGAAGTGAAATGCTGAACTCCAGGCCATAAAGTTGTTGAAATCTGGGAAAGCAAGATGTCCAGATGGAATTCCTCCAGAAGCACTGAAAATAGACACAGAGACATTTGCAGCGGACATGCTCATACCACTATTGCAGTAGGTTTGGAAGGAAGGAAGGAAAGGTACCTCCCGCGTGTAAGAAAGGCTGCCTTGTCAAGCTCCCAAAGAAAAGTGACCTGAGTCTTTGGGAGCGCGAGAACTGGCGCAGAATCATGCTGCTGTTCACCCAAACCGAGCAAAATATTAAGCTGCATCGTACTGGAGAGACTAAAAGATGCTCTGGATTCAAAATTCCGACTGGAACAGGCTGGCTTCAGGAAGTACAAATCATGTACGGATCAAAATGCAACGCTACGCTACACATCATCATAGAATAGAGCATGGAGTGCCAGTCAGCTGGATCTAAACCTCAACTTCATCCACTTTGAAAAGGTTTTCGACAGCGTCGACTGGGAAGTAATTTGGCAGGCAGCTGCTTCAACACTATGGTTTTAGTGTCACAAACCTTTATTGACGTCATTCTGCAACTATAAGCTCTATGGTGCTACATGCCAAGTGATTCACAATGGAAAGCTCAGTGATACGTTGCCGCCTACTATTACCAATGATCTTCCTAATTGTGGTCGACTGGATCATGCAGCCAAACGTGAGGAGCTGTGAGAAGAGGGGCATACGCTGACTAGACCGATGAAAAGAGCCCAGAAGAAGATTTGGATTTCGCCACCGTCGATGGTGATTTATGTCTAATGTCTAGTCATACAAACTCGAAGATCTACAGGCGAAAACTAGCATACTGGCAGGAGAGGCAGGGTAGTGAAGACGGGACTTCGGGTGAACGTCGAGAAGACGGAGGTGATGAAGATACCCAACCTACAACGACCACAATCACCATGGACGGGAGAAACCTAAAGGAAGTAGTCACTTTCACCTACCTAGGCAGGCAGCATCGTTTCAACTACAGGTGGCGGCACGGATGAGGATGTCAAAGCAAGGATTGGAAAAGCAAGACAGGTCTTCATTGATCTGAAATCGGTGTGGAGATCTACTGTACTGCACTGCACTCAGCATAAAGCGTGAACAAGATCCGGGTTTCCAACACTAAGTCAGTCAAGTCAGTGCCTCTATGTGATGGTTGAGAGACTTGGTGCATTACGAAAAGCATTTCCAACAAACTGCAGACATTCATCAACAGCTACCACCTACGCTCACTCGATACTGAAGATCAGATCAGATGATCAGAGGGAATAAGCAACAAGGAACTATGGCGGGCAACGAACTAATTAACAACCCATCGTCCAACAAATATACAGAAGAATGTGGAGATGGATTGGGCATACACTGAGAAGACCATTTGGGGACATTATGCACCAGGCTGTAGAAGGAACCCAAAAGGGAAACGACGAGTTGGGCGTCCCAGCTGAGGATGACATGGAGGAGATGGTGTTAGGAGGAAATGAAACCTGGGCAGTCGTGGGGCCTGGTTCAAAAAACTGCAATGAACAGAGTGCAATGACGACGTGCTACTGGAGCCCTATGTCCCGCTAAGAACCCATGGGACAAGTAAATAAAACAAAATTGATAATGATGATAATTTTTTGTGCCTTTTTAATTGAAATGTTCTGTTACACAAGGAATATTGCATATAACTTCCTCAGGAGACTCTTATTGTTCACCTTAGAAAATCTTAACCCATCGCTAAATTGTCCTAGTGCGAAATATGCATTTGCGTAAGTGGTTATTGTGATGCATTGGATTGATTACAAAAATAGTTTTATTTTTGCAAGTTTGAGCGACTTCAAGGTCACCCTAGTGACGACCTAAACAACTAATTACGCTTCTTCATTTCAGTTAGAAAGGTAGATTTTCCTAAAATATAGAAGTCTAATTGGTTATTTCAGCTGTTGCTAGGGTGGCCTTTAAAGTTACTCATGAGTTTCTGAGATCAGTCTTTCGAATCATCCAAACAGTTTTACATTTATTATTGTGTAAAAAAGGATAGAAATCGCAAAACTAATCTCAGTTACTGAGTTTTTATTCGTTGAATTCGTTTCTACTCAATTATGTATTTATGAGTCGGTTCGTCTCCAGAGTTTTTTGTTGCTTATTCCCTCTGATCATCTGATCTGATCTTCAGTATCGAGTGAGCGTAGGTGGTAGCTGTTGATGAATGTCTGCAGTTTGTTGGAAATGCTTTTCGTAATGCACCAAGTCTCTCAACCATCACATAGAGGCACTGACTTGACTGACTTAGTGTTGGAAACCCGGATCTTGTTCACGCTTTATGCTGAGTGCAGTGCAGTACAGTAGATCTCCACACCGATTTCAGATCAATGAAGACCTGTCTTGCTTTTCCAATCCTTGCTTTGACATCCTCATCCGTGCCGCCACCTGTAGTTGAAACGATGCTGCCTGCCTAGGTAGGTGAAAGAGACTACTTTCTTTATAACGCCACCTTCAAAAACTTGTGAAGGAAGCAGCTTAATTCTGGAGCAAATCACTCTATTGACTTATTGTGAAAGAAAAGAATGAACGCTGAAACCTCAGACTTCTTTTTACCTTCTCAGTATAGCTGGTCAGGCTGCTGCAGTATAAAACTTGAAAAATGTTCAGCGTGTATCAAGAGTTTTAGGTGCACTGC